CAAAGAGACAAGGGAAGCCGATCCTTTGACCAAACGTGTGCAAAACAATTGTGGTATCTCCCCTTGTATCCTGGGTTATTCGCGTTTCCGGTAGTATCCTATCATACATTCACTATTACAATTTTACCGTGTCGCTCAAAGGAGCACGCTACACTATCTAAATAAATACGATAAAGGCATACTTAGGGAAGGTGTTAGTCCCTCTTCTAGTTGTTCTTATGCCCCACAATATTAGTAGCCCACTCATTATTTTATAAAGCCGACAAAATGGCATCGTCATTTAAGGAGTAAGTGGCGTAATCAGTAGAAGTGTTACTAATTAATATAACCTGTCTATTTTGAACCTAAGAAGATCAAAGATTGTATGCATTGACTACAAGGTTGTTGGAAAATGCCACAGGGAGTTTGGAGTTACATTAGATAAACTACCTTTCTCCTTGAGATTACTTTCTTGATTTTATACCTGAGTTTAACACTGCCAGTGACACCATTAACTTTAATTCGATTAGTAAAATAAAATAGCTTACTCGGAACTACTTAATATAAGAGAAGTAAGATCTTTTTCACAGCAAAGTTCTTGCTACCTTGCTCTACTCCTTTCGAGGCCACATGCTTTCTCTTCGTTCCAGGGCCTATGTATCATAATTTTTCGCCTTCGTAAAAGTGAGTTACCCTTTTGTACCAAACTATTCAGCTGCGCTAAAAGTATACATATCGCTAAAAATGAAATCTCACTGAAAGAACATCTGTATTTTATTCGGAGATATTGTTTAGGCCAGACACCAAATGGATTCTAAAACACATATTCGATAAGAAAAATCTGCCTTGCTAGTAGACTTGGATGGACATAAGTTGTTTCACATTTTGTGATTATCTAATGTTTTATAAATATATTTCTCATTGCGCAAAATGTTTCACGAAAGTCAAGATATTGGTGGTTTGACACTAGATGCTAGCTTTCACACCTCTAAGTCTTGATTTATTTTCCTTAGAGCGCAGGACCCTATATGTACTTCCTGTTAACCTGACCTACCCATTGCTCAAAATCTGTAACTTCCAAGATGCATCTTTCCTAAGTTATAGCTCTTAGTCCTATTATTTTACGGTTGAATTTTTCTATCTACACAATAATACATCTGAAAAGGTTTATATCATCTTAATACTTGCCATCCGCGTAGGCCAACCAGATCATTATCCATTATGTCCAACTTTTGCCTTATATTTTCAAAATTAATCCATCGGTTTTCAGAGGTTGCATAACATTTGAAACCTTTTATTTCGGTATTAACGTATACTTTCATCTTCATGGCTTGAACCTACATGAATAATGGTTCATCATTAATGGCATCGCTCCTCGTCCTTATATCTTTGCTCTATCCTCTAGTGCTGTATCTCTTTTAGTGTCACTTCATATGGCCCATCTACCTAGTCATACATTTCTTTCAATGTCGCCTAAGATTGTGTAGCTACAAGTAGGTTTAGTGAAGCGTAATAATTTTAGCCACCGGTTCCAGGTACCGCTTTCAGGGCTCTTGACCTTCATTCAGCCTTCACTATGAGACACTAAAATCACTGTCTGGCTGTCTGAGAACCTTTAATTCCCGTCCCCAATTACGCTACATTTTAGCATTTAGAGCAGATGATGCCCATGCCAGTGCCTGGGAATCTTCCTATCCTTAGGCTTTAAACCCATGGCTGGGTTATCATCTTTCATCCCCACCCACATTGTGTCTCATTTTTTGGGGCCCTGTGTCTGGCTTAAATCATAACGGCTGGTGTGAAAATGCACCGTTTCTCTTTTTTCCCCTGAATAGCGAAAAGCATTGGTATTATTATTATTATTAAATTTGTCTGACCATGTTTTCACAAATCGGTCATATTGTCAGGAGGACCTAGAGGAACGTACTTTGTCCGAAGTCCGTTGCATGCATAATAATTTCCTGGCACATTCCTTTCAGACCCAGTTTCCCTTCACATTCACAGAAATTTCGCCGGCATCAGTGAGACTTGCCAGTCTTAGCATCACACCACAACTCGTCGAAGAGACAAGTAAAGTCAATCCTTTGACCATTATCGTCTAAACTTTTGTGATATCTCTCCTTTCGTCCTGGTATATTTATCTTTCCTATATACTCATAATACCCACTCACTCACAATTTCTTACTTGCTTATATAAACCTAAGTGAGGTCTGCCCTTTAGAGCGGATTTAATGAGATATACTTTCTCCTCTGGTTTCCACGTCCCCCGACTGTTCTGGGAGTATCAATCCAAAACTGCAGTTTAGTCCACAATTCTCATCATCCAGGTCGTATCTGAATCTCCCTCCGTAGGAAGCATCTCTTATCTGCCTTGTTCAGTGATTTCATTCTATCGTTGCCACCATATCCATGCTACTTGAGGTGCTATGTTCTACAGTCTGCCTCAAGCGTCAGCTTCTGAGCAAGCCCAAAAAGTTTGGATTCTAAAGTGACATGGGAACCTAATTTGACGCTGTATATTCCATTATACCTGTTCACCATGTGCATCAAGTAATCCTTTCTTCATGGACCACGTCTGTGATTAAACTTATCTACTAATATATGAGATATATACACCCTATTTAATCTAAGGTGATGAAGGACTTGTAGTCGAATTTTCCCACAATGGTGTGAGTAGAGCTGACGTTTCCCTTGAATTTCACTGCTTTGTTCTCATCCAGGGTAGACTGAAATTTCGACCTCGCCTAGGTCTTATCAACACCCAGGGCGGGAGTCGAACCGAGACAGTGCAACCAGTCTTTCATCACCTGAAACGAAATAGGGTGAATACATCTCATATAACCGATTTACTGGTAGTCCCGAAACTCTGCCTTTCTATTAATAGCTAACTATCGAGGGTCTCCGTCGCATCTTTTACTTTATCCATAATGCCAAGTCGATGACCGTATGCTTTAGTCTCTTGTGTGCCGGCTCCAAAATGTGGTAATTCTACTTGAATTAAATAGGCACACTGTAGATTGTTGTTCCTCTCTAATCTCCTTTCGATTTCTTACCCTGATTTTACTGTTCCCTTGTATCCGAGTTTGCCTAGACAGTCTGCAAAGTTTTAGCTATTCCTGTCTTTTAGTCTCCTTTTCATCAGATTTCTTTCAGTAATCATATCGCTGGCTTCTAGAACTTTATGTTTTACCCCATTTTCTCTATACGCAACCAACCTTTATCGATTTCCACTTGATTTCGTGTGCCGTCTGTATAATGTGTTCCGCTATTTCTGCTAAGTTGGTCAGCGCATCGACTTCACTTGTCTCTGACACATTTCAGTGTGGCGCTAAGAATTGTACAGCTTACCGACGAGGCCACCGAAACGTGGAATGGGAGGAGACAGCAAACATACTAAAGGCCACGCAACCTTGGTCTTCATACCTTCGATTAAGTATTAAACTTCATGAATCCTATCTTAGTGATCATACTTAGAAAAGTCACTAAGTGTAAGTATCTTACAGAGGGACTATGCATTCAATACATTTACTAACAATATACATGCAAAGTCAACGTTGATGAGAGGATCAAGCTGGAGGGCGATTTTCCTGTGGTCTTAGGCTCATTTCATTTCGTAAAGTTGATTCGGAATCGTTTTCGCAATTCGCCAGGAGAGTACTACTTTCAAATTAATATACATGCTACAAGGTAGGTATTTTTTAAGTCTTTCTCAGGGCGACCATAAAAGGAATGGATAATACTTCGACTCAAGGCAGCATAGCAAACTTTCAGATCTTGGACAAGTATATAGAGAAACAATTTCTGGAAATTTATTATGACCTAAGAAAAAGGCTGCTAATCAACTTTCATATTTTTTCTGGGCTCATCTATAATTAATTATTCTCCTAAGTATATTTGATCATTGAATATTGGGGGTTGCTTCACTCTAAATTATTCCCACACCAAAGCTGCCGATCATAGGATGTACATATAGTAGGATGCTCTCGGCTAAGTTTTACTATACGGAAGTCAGAGTAATTTTATCAATCCCTTTTAGCGAAAGGTAGCTTGCATCAATGCCAGAGTGGTACTTTATAATGCTTTTTTCATTAGAGATTCATACTACAGTGATAACGAGACGTTTGAGGGCATACATAATTGACAACAAGATGATGGAAGCACTCATAGGTTAAATGATTTTTATAGGTAAGTTATTCTAACTTTCTTAGTCATTGCGACTAATTTACCAATATGAGATCAGGTCCAGTTTGAAATCAGTTAATTGCAGGAATCAACTTATTGGTGACGCGGATTATTACTTGGCGTCGTATACGCTTTCGCCAAATTTATACTATTGTTTTGAATGCAATTATATTTTTCCAACCAACTTTATGATTTGTCTTATCCCATTTTCAGTTGGGACCAGAAGACCACGTCTTTCTATACAGTGTTTCTATTGCTCAAGATGGAGGCATTCTGGATTGGGACGACTTGGTCTCGGACGTGCTTGACGACCGAGAACTGGTAAGTTGGTGTCTCTTTTATCTGTCCTTTGCAGATGAAGCATATCCATATAAGTTAACTAAAAGGCTAGCTTTTGGGAGATCTCGTTGGCTCGTGCTAGTTATGTTATTTTCATTCATGAAGTCGAAATAAAGGGTCGAAAGCCAGTTCTACTAGAACATAAATTATCAATTTACCCTCAACATTCCCTTTTAAGCTGACTTTTTCATTATTTTGAGTATTGCAATTTCAGCACGTTGTCATCCAGCCCAAAAAATCCGTGTTAACCTTTTCTCACCCCTCCCGAAATTGGAAGAGTGGAAAATTTCGGAATCACTCAAGGCCATCACATTAATAAGATTGCTATCCATTCTAGCATAGAAGCAGTAGCTACGATTTTTAAAGGCGTGCCGTGAGAACACGACAGAATTCCACATCTGCTAGTATCAGTTCCTTGGGATCTTACTCCTCACTATTCCTATATTCAATGTGTAGTTATGGCGAGCCGGAAAATTGAGCATTTTTCATTATAGATTTCTCTTTGCTTGAGGGATATTATCTTCCCTCTTCAAGATCTTTTGCATTTCTACTTGCACCTCCTATTCTGAAATAATCGTATGCATTGATTTTACTTCATAGCTAACTAATTTTTCCATACCTTGCAGTCTCATGTTGTTGATCCTTTGTGAACATTCATAACTTCTTCACGGTATTCATCAATCTATTTTTATTAGTTTTAAACGAATGGATCTCGCCAGTTTGTACGTTGCTTTGTACTTATTGTTTCCTTTACTGGAATATTCTTGTTGACGCTGTTTCCGAAGCAATCTCCTTCGATTCGGGTGAAAACAGGCTAAGTTTTCGTCCCTCATATTGCGTACGTCATCAGAGGGGACATCATTCTTACATTGTATTCAAGCTAAGGCATCAACAAAATTTGCGTTTCGAAGCTTAATGTTTCGTGAATTTTAATAAATATTGGTTTATCGTTCTGAGGATGACACACGAAGGATAGGCAACGATCAATCGGAGTCGCAGGACGATGTGTGCTTAGTTTTCCTATGTGAACAATTTACGAATCCCTTCTACTGAACTTTTCATATTGACTGAAAGATTAAATGATAATTTAGCTGATCAATTTGATGACAGGCAGACTATATGACACCCGGAGACGGTGATAGGTCGATACTAAGGCCAAGCTAAGAGGGTGATGTCTACAATTGTTATCAACCAAGTTTCTCGTCGCATGGTGCCATGGCTAAAAAATGCAAGCACAGGTCAACATCCACACTTGCTGCCCAGCCAAGTTTGACGTGGCTTGATGAAGGTATATATTTCACTCCTATTGGCGTTTGTTAGTCTTCTATTCCTACTTTCTGGAGCTTCGATCTAGTACACTTCATGTAGAAGCTAAGACTGGATTACTTTATTTTTTAGTGGTCTATCATCGGCATAGAATCCGAAATGTATTCGCTGACTTATAGTATAGTGATTACTATAGTACAAATCAAATAGACATTTTGGGGTGTTATATTATTTCTTTATTCTTTTTTTTACCTCATCGCACTTAATTTCCCCCTTTTTTCTATAATCCTTCAGCTCATCGCCAATTTCTCATTTGGATCTGCGACTAGGGCAAATAACCTACCTCCTTTCGTCCACTCTCCGCCGCCTGCTTATTCTGCAAATTTGCATGTTAACCAGGCGCGAAATGGCACCACGACAGAGACGGTTATCGATACTGACAACGGCCCGTCCAAAGAGAGGCATGAAATCGTTGCTAGCGGGCAATGTTCGGAAAATGTGGGCATTTTTCAGAGTCAAGATCGCGGCTCAGTACAATCCATTATGCAACCATTAGTCTTTGGTCTGGCCTCGGGCCTTGAGAACCAAACGGCATCTTCAAGGTCGGTTCAGTTAGAAGATGGTCCTGATCCAAGTTCATGGCCAATTGAAGGAGCTGCAGTCTTAGTCGCTAGCACTGGCAATGACGCATCTAAAATAGTCTCTCGCAATATCTTCAATTCATTGCAGGAAGAGTCAAGAGTAAGTATTTTGTGATCGCGGATATGATAGGTGACAATTTATAGTTATATGGTTATTCGGCTAGATTTGTATAAAATGAGCCTTGCGACTTCTTATAAACGTATTTATCCAGAGCACTGAATTCTTGAACATATTTTTTCAAACTAATTTTTTGTGATTAATACTTTTTTAATTATTTTGTTTAGACATGGCTATCCATTTATTCCGAGTTGATTTCCTTTTCACCTTGTAATCGTAATTTCGTCTTTCTCTTCTTAATCCTTCCTATAATCGCCGCCCTCCCCACTTATACACCAAATTCCATCTTGAAAAACTAACTCATTCTAACAACTTGCACTTGTCTTAGTGCTCAGGCCGACCATACACGTCTCTTATCTGCAATTTGTCGGGTGCCAATCAGGTGATCGACCTCTCATCTCTTTATCCAGAATCAGCTAATCTATGTTCTAAGGCTGATCTTGGCTCTGCGAATATCAACACCATTACTCCTACCAGCTCCAATAATGCAACTTTTCAATCCCATGGAAAAGATGAACCTTCTCACTCTGCCCTCATTGATCAGGAAGTAATTAAGGGCCAGATGACCGGCGATGCTCGGCTACAAGTAGTTTCT